TCACAAAGCGCAGCATGATTTGAGCATGTGCAGTAGGAAACCGGCTGTGAAGCTGCGAGGCTTCACTGGTGGATTCCTTTAGTCTAGATGGCACCCCTAGCACGCTCAGTTTGAGAACACCGCTGGATCCCTGGCCAAGTAAGTGCTCTAATATTAAAAGTCAGCAGTTACATTATTTGTAGCTGCTGACATTTCATTTTTGGGAGGGGGTCCAGAACTCCTTTTTAAGAAGTACAGTGGGGAAGATAATTATTTGATCCCCTGCAGATTTTCAAAGTTTGCCCACTTACAAAGAAATGAAAAGTCTATCATTTTTATCATATTTTAAATGGTAGAGACAAAATATCAACCAATAATCCAGAAAAAAACACGATACAAATTTTATAAAATGAGTTGCAGTTCAGTGAGTAAAATAAGTATTTGACCCCAAGCAAAACATGACTTAGTACTTGGTGAAGAAACCCTTGTTGGCAAGCACAGAGGTAAGACGTTTCTTGTAGTTGGTTACCAGGTTTGTACACATCTCAGGAGGGATTTCGGTCCACTCTTCTTTACAGATCTTTTCTAAATCCTTAAGGTTTCTTTGCTGTCGCTTGGCAACTTGAAGTTTCAGCTCCCTCCATAAATTTTCTATAGGATTAAGGTCTGGAGACTGGCTAGGCCACTCCATGACCTTAATGTTTTCTTCTTGAGCAACTCCTTTGTTGCCTTGGCAGTATGTTTTGGGTCATTGTCATACTGCCATGTGCAGCTGTACCAGATTCTGACTGCTCCAGTTTTGATAAATTCCCCCCAATATGTATTTGCACCCTTTTTACTTTCTTTTGTTGTTCACAGTATTGTTTTTCTTGACCTTCTGCTTGTGGAGCTGTAAGACCGGTGACATTAGACATTTATCTAATGGACATCAGCCTAAAATATGGATTTTGAATTTCCTATCCCGTGATCAATGTATCTTATGTGCCCTGCCACATATTTTTTTGGGACACTATACTGTACTGTATATAGGCACAAGTGTCCTGGCTGCTCTACTCTTCAGTTGCCTTTTGTAGTGTTCAGATTAATCTCCATAGGGTGTGTGCTTCTGTGTGATCTTGAACCCAGTAGCTGTTCCTTTATGTCTAGTATTCAGAGTGTATCTTGTTTACCTTGTCATTGTGAAGTCTTTGGTCCTGGCTTCGTTCCCTTACTAATCTGGTTCCCAGTTGCATTTCCTGGTCACTCTCTATCTGCCCTGAGCTTACTGCACCATACCTTTGCAGGAGAGGACTGTGCTGGAGGACAAGGAGGTAGTTTCCCCCGAAGCCAGTACAAATAATATACAGTATATTGTGCTACTGCCTACTGGTGGAGAACCTCACCCCCACCAATCCTTTCTAACCTCAACCTCGAAGTTTCAGCTCCCTCAATAACTTTTATATAGGATTAAGGTCTGAAGACTGGCTAGGCCACTCAGTAACCTTAATGTGCTTCTTCTTGAGCAATCTTTGTCTTGGCAGTATGTTTTGGGTCATTGTCATGCTGCAAGACCTATCCACAACCCATCTTCAGTGTTCTGGCTGAGGGAAGAAGGTTCTCTTTCAAGATTTTACAATACATGGCCACGACCGTTGATCTCTCAATGCGGCAAAGTCAGCCTGTACCTTCAGAAGAGAAACAGCCCCAAAGCATAATATTTCCACCTCCGTGCTTGAATGTAGGGATGGTGTGCTTAGGGTCATAGTCAGCATTTTTCATCCTTCAAACACGAGTCGAGTTAATGCCAAAGAGCTCAATTTTGGTCTCATCTGACCACAGCACTTTCTCCCTATCCTCCTCTGAATCATTTAAATGTTCATTGGCAAACTTCAGATGGGCCTGTACATGTGCCTTTTTGAAGAGGGGGACCTTGCGGGCACTGTGGGATTTCAATCCATGGCGGCGTATTCTGTAACCAATGGTTTGTTTGGTGACTCTGGTCCCAACTGCCTTGAGCTCATTCACAATAATCTCCTGTGTAGTTCTGGGATGATTCCTCACTTTTCTCATGCTCATCCTTACCCTATGAGGCAAAATCTTGCATGGAGCTCCAGACCGAGGACGATTGATGGTTGTTTTGTATTTCTTCCATTTGCGAATAATAGTTCCAACAGTTGTCTCCTTCTTACCAAGCTTCTTGCTGATGGTCTTGTAGCCCATTCCAGCCTTGTGCATTTCTACAATCTTGTCCCTGATGTCCTTTGACAATTCTTTGGTCTTGCCCATGGTGGTGCTCAAGAAAGAAATTCTGTGGACAGGTGTCTTTTATACACTTAACGAGTTGTCGTTAGGAGCACCTTTTTAAATTGACAGGACTAATCTCCATACCATATGAGCACATAGCCAGTCTGTGGGAGCCAGAATTATTGTTCGTTGGTAGGGGTTTAAATATTTATTTTACTCACTGAACTGCAACTCAATTTACAACATTTGTATTATGTATTTTTTCTGGATTTTGGTTTGATATTCTGCCTCTATCATTTAAAATACACCTATGATAAAATTATAGACCCTTCAATTCTTTGTAAGTGGGCAAAGTTACAAAGTCTGCAGGGGATCAATTACTTATTTTCCCCACTGTATACTGTATGTTTAATTTGGTAAACTCTAAACCATAGTTAACATGCTGGGGGCATTTCCACCAAGCGTGCAAGAATGTCCAGGGATTAGAGAAGACTATGAAGCATCTGTGTTGTTATTTTCAACTTCTCACAGACTAGCATGCCCTGGAGACTGTTTAGTACTTTACATACAGTATCTACCACTCCATTCCAACTCCCCTCCTGAGTAGCCTTAGGCACCAGTACTTTAGCATGAGAAACCACTTTTTGGAGGCCCCTCCAAAAGCTTTTTCCAATGTTGAAGGTCATCCAGGTTGTTATTAACATGGCACTAGACTACAAATGTGTTGTCCCCTTGCCAAAGGGATACCTTTCCATATTACTGGTATTCAGAGCTTTTGGATGCACAGATCACATACCCCTTTCTGGTAAGGTAGAAGACTTTATTTGTATCTTCTGCAGTTCAGTGACACTTGTCCCTCCCCCAGCCTGTGACTGGACAGTAAAATGAGAATTAGCAGGCTGATAGGCTCATATTTCTGTCATGAAAATACAATGCAGCACAACTGATTAACTCCTTGTACTGCTTCTCCATCCAATCAGAGCTGTGCTGTATGGTAGTCGGCAAGAGAGGCTGATATCAAGTAAAATGTAGATACTTACAGTTGTGACCAAAATTATTCAACCCCCAATGCTGTAAAGGGGTTTAGGGACTATAGTGTACATTTGGAATTGTATTCAGAATCAAATCCTACAAGGACGTTGTAACTACCCAAATGCAACTAAAATGACATCAATTGTTTATGTAATACAGTAGTAAATGGTTCTTATGTGGTTTCTTCATTGCCACAATTATTCAACCCCTTAAAGACTACCACTCTGAAGAACAGAGGTTCATACAGGTGCTTTCCATCAGGTATTGAAAACACCTGTGGATGTCACCGAGCAGCAATCAAGCATAATAAGCACCAATTAGGCAGCTTTAAAATGACTGTGATACTCAGCTCCTTCTAGACATTTACTGGTGTGGTTACAAACATGGTGAAGGCAAGAGAATGGTCCAGGAAGACAAGAGAAGAGGTGATTTCTCTTCACAGGAAGGGCAATGGCTATAAGAAGATTGCAAAGATGTTAAACATACCAAGAGACACCTTAGGAAGCATCATTCGCAAATTCAAGGCAAAGGGCACTGTTGAAACGCTACCTGGTCGTGGCAGAAAGAAGATGCTGACTTCGACTGCTGTGCGCTACCTGAAGCGTAGAGTGGAGAGAAGTCCCCGTGTGACTGCTGAGGAACTGAGAAAAGATTTGTCAGATGTGGGTACAGAAGTTTCAGCCCAGACAATAAGACGCACACTGCGTAATGAAGGCCTCCGTGCCAGAACTCCCAGGCGTACCCCCCCTTGCTGTCTCCAAAGAATAAGAAGAGTCGACTGCAGTATGCCAAAAGCCATGTGGACAAACCACAAAAGTTGTGGGATAGTGTTCTGTGGACTGATGAAACAAAATTAGAACTGTTTGGGCCCATGGATCAACGCTATGTTTGGAGGAGGAAGAACAAGGCCTATGATGAAAAGAACACCTTGCCTACTGTGAAGCATGGTGGAGGGTCAATCATGCTTTGGGGCTGTTTTGCTTCTGCAGGTACAGGGAAGCTTCAGCGTGTGCAAGGGTACCATGAATTCTCTTCAGTACCAGGAGATATTGGATGGAAACGTGATGCAGTCCGTCACACACCTGAGGCTTGGGAGACGTTGGACCTTTCAACAGGACAATGATCCCAAGCATACCTCCAAGTCCACTAGAGCATGGTTGCAGAGGAAAGGCTGGAACATTTTGGAGTGGCCATCGCAGTCACCAGACTTAAATCCGATTGAGAACCTCTGGTGGGACTTAAAGAAAGCAGTTGCAGTGCGCAAGCCTAAGAATGTGACTGAACTGGAGGCCTTTGCCCATGAAGAATGGGCGAAGATACCCGTAGATCGCTGCAAGACACTTGTGTCAAGCTATGCTTCACGTTTAAAAGCTGTTATAACTGTAAAAGGATGCTGTACTAAGTACTAAGATTGAATGTCACTTGGGGGTTGAATAAAACTGATAATGCTGTGAGCACAGAAAAGACATTTGTGGTTATTTCATTATATAACTGTTATGTTATATTTGTCTGACCTACAAGTGCCTCTTTAATGTAAATGTAAGCAAGATGACTGAATGATCAAAAGCAATGTCAAACTGGCCAAAACACTCAATTTCAGTGGGGGTTGAATAATTTTGGTCACAACTGTATACTGCACTACATTTATTGATGTATTTATGAATACAGATGCATTATTTTATATATTTTATTTCTGCCTGGAATTCAAGTTTACCTGACATGATGTACTAACTCAAAATAAAATGTTCTATGCTGTGAATCTATAGGATTGGTAATTATTGGATATGGGAAATCCTGGAGAGAACAAAGGAGGTTCACACTGTCCACATTAAGAAACTTTGGAATGGGAAAAAAGTCCCTGGAGGAGAGAGTGGCAGAAGAAGCTCAGTGTCTATGCACTGCATTTAAATCCTACAAAGGTGGGTGTTAAATTATGGTATGAATACTGTAAATAAACTGTATACTGTATGGGGACAACATACAAAGGACAACAAGGGGACAAAGACCTAGTGTAGTATTCCAGGAAAAATGGATACAATGGAAAATAAGCGATGCACTTTCAAGAGAATGTTATAAATATACTTATCAACAGCCTCATGTCATGATGGAGGTCCACTGACTACCCCTTAATCGTCACCAGCAGCAGAAGCTATGGGCAGAGTGAGAATTCTGCAATGGATCTTTCAGGAGCGGGGTGAAGTACCTACAAGATATCAATGAGCAGTGGCATCTTTTCAGTTCCAGCTCAGCAACACTTTTGAGTAGCAGAGGAGAAATCTACTATGATGTGAGACAGTTCATATGCACATTTATAATATTTTTTGAGTGCATATCTAATTTTATTTTCATCATATTCAGTTTCCCTGGGATAATGCACAATGAAGGGAATTTATCAAAACTGAAGAAGCCAGAATCTGCTCTTGCTGTGTTTCTATTTTTAATTTTCAAAGTTGAAGGCATCATTCACATCATGTGCAGAGATGTCAGTTTTTCTGCACACGTTCCGCAAGGGCACAAAAAAACAATTTGCCCTGTCCACACCACAACACTTGTATCACATGCAGATTATTCTGCACAGGAATCTGTGACATGCATGCAGTTTTCTGTGTGGAACAAAACTGATATGACATCAACATTGGGGTATGGACAGGGCACATATCTGACGTGCATGGGAACTGATGTCAACATGCATAAAAACTCACTGAAACACGCATGAAAATTGATGTGAAGCTGATGTAAAACTTGTGTCTCTGCAAGTGAAATCTGCACGGTTTTTCCATCAGTTTTCCTGCACGTATGGTGTGAACGAGCCCTATCTGAACTAGCTGAAGGTACAAGCTGGTTGGTTTCCATGTGCAGCTGTGCCAGATTATGGCTGCTCCAGTTTTGATAAATCCCCCTCAATATGTATTTGTACCCTTTTTACCTTCTTTTGTTGTTCACAGTATTGTTTTTCTCGACCTTCTGCTTGTGGAGCTATAAGACATTAGACATTTATCTAATAGACATCAGCCTAAAATATGGTTTTTGAATTTCCTATCCCCTGTGATCAGTGTATCTTGTGCGCCCTACCACATATCTTTTTGGAGGACACTATACCGTACTGTATATAGGCACAAGCAGGGCTTTTTTTTTTTCTCAGAGGAAAGGTGGTGGAACTCCCCCACCCAAACCTGGCCACGCCCCCATCAAACCCTAGGACCACCCCTTTAGAGAACAGAACAGGAAAAGTAAAATTTGGGAGGGGCTATAAAAGTAAATGTATGGAATTAACACCGCCCCCCCCCACATTAGTAAGAATAGCGAGTAACACTGCCCCCCCCCACATTAGCAAGAAAAGCGAGAAAAAATGTATCGCCGCTCCTTACCTGATGCTGACGATCCGCGCTATGGTAGGATCGACGAGCAGAGGGCGTGATGACGTCAGCGCGCACCGCCGGGTGTACTAAGATACACCTTTCCTATGGGGGTGGCCCGCGCGCCCCCGATGTTTACACGCTGGCGGTAGAGGGGGGGGGGGGTTGAAGCGTGCATGTCCCCGCTCACCGGCTGTGAGCAGCGGCAGTGACAGGTGCCGGGCACGCGCAAGCATGACATAAACAAGCCGCGTCCGGCACCTGTCACTTTCGCTGCTCTGCATAGCTTGTCAGCTCTGCAGAGGCAGTCGGTGAGCGGGGACAAGAAGAAAAAGGTGGCGGAACGCAGTACCGCCGCGTTCCGGCAGAAAGAAAGCCCTGGGCACAAGTGTCCTGGCTGCTCTACTCTTTGGTTGCCTTTTGCAGTGTTCAGATTACTCTCCATAGGATGTGTGCTTCTGTGTGATCTTGAACCCAGTAGCTGTTCCTTTATGTTTAGTTTTCAAAGTGTATTTTGTTTACCTTGTCATTATGAAGTCTTTTGTCTTGGCTTTGTTCCCTTGCTAATCTGGTTCCCAGTTGCATTTCCTGGTCACTCTCTATCTGCCCTGAGCTTACTGCACCATACCTTTGTAGGAGAGGACTGTGCTGGAGGACAAGGAGGTAGTTTCCCCTGAAGCCAGTACAAATAATATACAGTATATTGTGCTACTGCCTACTGGTGGAGAACCTCACCCCCAACAATCCTTTCCCTATTCTAACCTCAATCAGAGAAAGATCTGCAGTTAATGACAACTGCTGGGTGTTGTACTGATCAGGCATCACAACATGGTGGACTGTGGTCCAGATCCGGACCCGAGCCACTGTCCCATCTGGACCCTTGGTTGTAAAATTTTGAAGCCTTCCTTTACCCTGGCCTCTGCCAATGTCATTCTCAAGGCAGCATGGGGAGTGGAAGGTAGGGGATAGCAATGATCAGAGAGCTGGAAGCACACCAACACTTGATGGAGGGCGAGAGTGGGAGCTGCATGAGTAAACTTTTGCTAGGACACCAGGCAGTCCTAGCAACCAATCACCAGCTTGTTAATAGGAGAAGTTAAGCTCAGCTACCCCCTGCTACCTCCCTCCAGCCAGTGCTGCTGTGCCTCCCACGCTCTGCTCTGTGTACGGTGGGAGAGCAATGAGCAAGAGGACATGGCTGTGAAGGTGGTGGTGGTGGGGGAAACGAAATGAAGGGGGGAGTGCTGTGTAAAAATAAAAATGCAATTGGCGCAAGAGAATTTGTAGTGGATATAACGTTCACTCAGTAAATCTTAAACAAAATAATCCAGTAAACAGAAATTAAGATATATAATCATATATGCTAGTAATAAAAGGACAACAAGTAAATGATGCAGCTTTAGTGGTGAGGAAAGGGAAGGGGGGAGGGGAGGGAGGTAGGGAAAGGAGGGGAAAAAAGGCCTTGTAATGCAAACAGTACTGGATTGAGATAGATGGTATATATATATGTATACATATATATATACAAAGCTGCAATGTAGACACCGTCATGAGGCTTGCACTTTCTAGAGTAAACCGGACTCTGTGGTAAATGGAGAAGAAAGAGAAGTGCGCCAGACTAAGTGCAGTAGGAATATAAAAGTTTATTGCACACAAGATTATAAAAACTCACAAGACGTGGGTAGATATCAGGCATCAATATATAAGGAGGAGGAGGTCATCTGTGCTGCACCTCACAAATGGATGGCTGCAATGCCAAGGTGTTGCGTGGCTGTGTGTGTGATGATTGAGGGGGTGGGCAGATATGAAGGGGCAGAGCACATTATTGTAGAGGCAGGTGGGAGGGAGATGTAAAAAGAAGCAGTGCTGTGGGGGATACTGTGATGGGGGCAAGTGCTGGTGGGGAGGGGAGATGTGATGGGATGTAAAGAAAGGCAGGGCTTTGCGTGGTGGGGGAGGTGATACAAAACGGGGCAGTGCTGTGGGGGGGATTAAAAGGGGGGCAGTGCTGTGTGGGGTGATGTGATGTAAAGGGGTGCAATGCTGTGGGAGCAGGGTGATGTGAAGCGATGCTGGGGGTGTTATTTGAAGCGAAGCAGTGCTGTGGGTGGGAGATGTGATGTAAAGGGGCAAATGCTGTGGGGGGATGGTGTGAAGTGGGGCAGTGCTGTAGGGGGTGACGTTAAGGGGGGCTATGCTGTGGGGAGGGGGTAATGTAAAGGGGGACAGTGCTGTGGAGGGGGTTGATGTGAAGGGGGAAGTGCACACTAATGTGAAGGAGAAATTGATATGAAGTGGGGGACTGTGATGTGCAGGGGACTGAGGACACTGATGTAAGAATGGAAGTGAAATATAAAATGAGGGGGCTGTGATGGGAGCGATCTGAGACATAGCACAAACATGCGATTCGGACCTCTGCTGGAAGAAAATTGGACAAATTGGACCACCATGAATATTATAGTTGTTTACTGTCTGTCTAGGCCTGCAATCCCAAGACCTGGCAGAGGAAAATCTTCTAGCATCTACTTACTTTGTGACACTAAACTGTCATGTGACCAACTGGGAAATGTATTGTGCTCACTTTAATTATGTGTTAAAATAAACTATATTAGCTGTTAGTTGTTAACAGCAAGCACATACGGGAAAAATAAAACCGCTCAATTTCAAGAGTTCATTTTCCAAGGCTGAGAGCTGCTCTCCAAGACTCATACTGGGAGGGATTATTGGCATCAATGAACATAACACAGAAATGGGAGTTCTTCAAAAAGACTGTATGTGAGCACACTACAAAATATATTCCCATGGGCAACAAGTTTAAAAGGCTAAAAAGCAAACCTATGTAGCTTAGGGCCAAAGTTAAAAAAGCTATAGATAGTAAGAAAAAAGCTTTCATTAAGTATAAAAATGACGCTATCATCGTTTAAACGTTTACAAAGATTATAATAGAATATGAAAAAGGAAATAAAGGCTGCAAAAATTGAAAACGAACGACAGATTGCAAGAGATAGCAGGACCAACCCACAAAAATTCTTCAAATATATTAATAGTAAAAAGGTCCGGTCCAACCATGTAGGCCCTTTACAAAATAATCTAGAGTGGGTGACTGGGGACAAAGAGAAGGCGTATTTATTAAACACCTTCTTCAGCTCTGTGTATACAAAGGAGCATGGGGGAGCTCTTGTCCATAATGGGCATGGTATTGACACAGCTCCAAATGATCCACATTAACTCACAATTGATATGATCCAAAAATATTTAGACAGAATAAAGGTGAATAAAGCACCTAGACCGGATGGCTTACACCCATGAGCCCTTAAAGAATTGAGCTCTGTCATTTCAAAGCCATTGTTTCTCATTTTTAGGGACTCTTTAATGACTGACATAGTACCACTGGATTGGCGTAAGGCAAATGTGGTGGCAATATTTAAAAAGGGATCAAAATCTTTTACCAAGTAATTACAGACCTGTTAGTTTAACTTCTATAGTTGGGAAGATACTGGAGAGTTTAATAAAAGACCACATAGATGAGTCAAAATCATGGATTCATGAAAGACAGAAGTTGT